TTAACTGGACGCAAAGTGGCAACTGAGGGGGGAGGGGCATTTTGCACTTTCGTTGCTTCCCACTGTCTTGTGGAGCCACCAAGTGAAGAACTATGAAATCTTGTAACGATGATCTCGATGAAGTCATGAAGTGGTGCCAGTCCCAGCTTGTAGAGATTACATCTTAACCCTTTTGTGAAGCAATGAACACGACAATGGGAAACAGCGGATTTAAATGCCGAGGAAATAGGAAAAGGCCCCCTCCCTGTCAGCTAACTGTGCCTATAAACTCCTCACATCACACAGTATCTTCTCCAGTTTCTTAACATCTGTCGGTATTGCATTAGCTTCAAACTGTTCAGCCAAAAGTGCTTCGTTCACGAACCATCCATTCTCAAGTATCATTTTCCTGGAAAAGCTTCAAAGGACCCATGAGAAACAAAAGCGAAGGCGGTTTCTCAAGATAGAAGTGATTATGACAGGTTGGTGTATTTCAAATTGTAAAAGATAATCTTCATTAGAATGTACAGTCAATGCATAACCACCGCGAATCCGACAAAATCACTAGTAATACTTACAGACCCCTATGTATAAAGAACAACAACAAAACAACAAAAAACTAGAGAAAGCCATCAAGATCTGCTTCCTCAAAGATATACCCTCAAAAGATACCAAGATAGAACTCTAGTGAAATGGAATTAGTGGTTCATTCCAGTACAACATAAACACACTAAAAACATAGAACATATACATTTGGTGAAGTGGCACGAGCACTATAAAATACTTCATACTGATATCAGTATCAAAGCTCCTTCAACCCTTCCAACGGAACTGTATAGCAGAAGTAGCTTGGAGGACACGGGATCTCTTTAAGGGAGCATTCTCGACCAACCAAAGGCAGACTCTACAAACAAAAAAGGTCAATTGTGTATTGAAACAATGAAATCCAGAAAGCAAACCTCAGGCGCCTCAAAGTAGGTACATGGGATCGAGTCCCCATAGCCTGGTACCAGGATGTCAAAGAAAAATGACCCATCTTCCAATGCAGTTATTTCGTGAATGTTACCTGAAGAGCATCACATGAGAAAAAACATGTTTCATATACTGGCAAACGCAGGTACTAGCCCAAAGCAGGGGTAAAATGCGTAGGCTAATGTTGAGAGAAGCTACGACGTCATCATTGACACGGTAGGTGGGAGGGAGCTCTTGTGAGGAGGTAGACGTGGATCATTGCCTCCCTTCGGGAATCGTTCTCCCCTCCCATGTCAATGGCTATCACAAACAAGTCATTTCCTAGCGCGTAACGCGTGGAATTGCACACCTATGTTAAAGTAGCACACAAAGGCCAAACCTAGCTTGATTACAGAGAACTGAAGAGCTCATACGACTACTACTAAACTGCAACAGTAACAATCAAATATTACAAAGAAATATAAAATAATCAAGATCACTTGAAGGGAATGCGGAGGATAACAATGATACAAAAACAGAAATTATGAGCACGACATTACCTTTTATAGGGCTCAAATGGACGCACCCATCTCCTTGCCTCACAGTTCGCTCTCCTTCGTAGCGCACCTTGGTTCGGCCAGACCAATGTTTCCCTGTCGGGTCCAGAAAAGAGAATGACGTTACCTAAATGAAGTCTGACTTTGCTATTCAACTCAAGGTCAAAACCTACGGAACGAGTTCCCTCAATGTGCATCAAAACCTATCTGAAGAGTTTAATAATATCATGAAATCACAAATTTTCAATGCCAACCTTCAGCGATCCTCTCAAAACGGTGACGAATCCGTGCATAGTGGGGTGGTCGTGGAGTGGAATCTTTTCACCGGTGCGGCTGAATCCAAAAACGGAGCAGTGTAAGTTGGGACACTCGTACAGAAGCCCGTAAAGCACGGGAGACATTTGAGCTGCGCATAATTCGACCGGAGGTAGTTCGCCTGGAAACAAACCGATAATGACGCACGAAAGTTTGACTGAAATGCCAATCCGAGAGTACGCTTCATTTTTCTAGAATCCTTCGTCACTAAGTCTCCTGCACGAAACTACTGTAAAAGAACTATTTTTGATAGTTGAATCTGACAGCTGATTGGAAAGAACCTTCCCCTTCTCGGGAAACTGGTGGGGAATCGGGAGATTTGACCAGATCGCAGGTCGAATAGGAAAGTGGTCGTTCTAGTAGTGAAAATGAGGGAGGGAGGAGGGTGGTCTAGGGGAGTAGGGGTTGGAGAGAGGTCAGCACGGGGAAAGGAAACATCGAGGTGGTAAGGTGGCTCTGCACACGCTGACCTGTTGGGGATCGAAAGCAAACTCAATACCGCAGAAGAACACAGCATGTAATGTGGTAATACTGTGACATCCACAACATTCACTGAACCTCTGAAATGGGCACCACCTCACTAGAAAACATGCAGAAGGACTAGTTAGATGGGCATGGGCATCACCTCATCAGACTTATCCTGAGTTAGATTCACAATCCTCAAACTACTGAACATGCACATATAAAACTACTCACCAACCATGGATTCGTTAACTGATCCGACGAGCGAAACAGCTTCTCCGATGGAAGCTGCATCTCCACGAAGTATCCGATGCGCCGACCGTACCAGCTGACCCAGCACGAAGCGCAGCGCTTTGCGCTCCATACCTCCACTAAATGTCGAGGTGGAAACGCCACATAGAAGAATTGAACGTAATGGGTACATTTCAGTGCAACAATGACAGTGAGCAGTTAGGGGTGGGCATTGCCTGAGCTATTACGAAACCTGTGGAATAGTGAACCATTCCTTTTGAAAAAAAGTTTTTGCGCTACAGTAGTCTAGATCCCAAGGAAGACTAATTTGTGTGTCCACCTTGCCGGAACAGCGCATGAGTTTTCCCATTTATGTACCTCTTTTCGATAAAGGAAACTAGGTAATTTAAGGTAATTTGGGCCCTGGTAGGGGGGAGTGGCATGCGGTCCTCTCCTGAAACAAGGTAATAAATGCGAAGCTAAAGCTGCGCCAGAACGATATAAAGGGGCACCATAAGAATCTCGTGAGCAGCTTACGCAAACAATTCCCCCTATGTCCAGCTGTAATGTGCTTCAACTCAGTAATAAACATGTACTTTTTACGCAACAACGTTTCACAGAATATAGAAAAGCTGAGTTTTTTTATAAATTTATAGATATCAATAAAATTCTGTTAATCATCACTGAATGTTTTTTGGCATCTGCAAAGTGAAATCTTAGAGTGAATCAAAGAAAATTACACTGAGCTTGGGCAGTATGATGCAAAAATATTATGATATAAATTCGCGTAAAAAAGGCAAACGAGGGGTGAGCTTAGAAAATGGGAGCATGATCAAACTAACAAGTAACAAACTGCAAAGCTATGACAATTTGAAAATTTAAGTGACAATGAAACCTTGACCAATGAAAGAGTGAAAACACCTGAACGAGAACGAATATCGGATCTCATAATTATTAAACCCCATATCTCGGAAATTGAGAGGGCGTGGCTCCGCACTCCCGTCAAAGATGCGAGGATGCGCATTTCACATGATGTTTCTATTTGAGACAACTGCCATTCTGCTTCTTGCTAGACGAAGATGCGATTGCAATTGCCACAAAACGAAAATATCCCACCGGAAGCCCAGTAGCTACCACGTTCAAAGGAAGCACGTAGCCACGCCCACCCCACGAAATATGCAGTATACCAGTAAAAGAAATTAGTACCAGTTAAAGACGATACAGTTGGACAAAGAGACATTGTCAACTACTCATACTAGGGTCTGAACAACCTTATCGTATCCAACTAAAATGTCTGATTTTGGATCAGGATGAAAAGTACTCCATGTTGTAGAAGTGCAGTCTATGCTACAGCTATCTTTGATAATGAAAAAGTCACGAACAAGAGACCGGAATAAAGCACCATCCTCTGTCGAATAGATCGGAAACCACACACTTCCGAGGATCTCCGACGACCCTTCAACACCTGAAAAAACGTAAGAATAAGTATGAGTTGGATGCTAACATAGTTCGATTTGCCACGCGGCGGAGCGACCAAGGCTACTCACTCATTCCCTAGGCGTATGTGAAACTACAATCATAACATGCTGCGATGTGCGTGGTGAGCGACGCCGCGCACGCGAAGAACGGGTTGCCCTTACCTGATTTTGAATGCAAAGGGATGGGAAAGATCGATGCAACCCGGTAGGCAGTCCTGCCTGATTGTTCCAACCCAGATCAAGGAGTTGCGCACCGCTGCGTGCGATGGCGCGGCACAATTGTCTTGGCCGTTTCCCACTACTGAAAGGATGGTCCTTCCCTTCCCTAATCTCTGCCTCAGAAGGGAGTAGAGGACCAGAATCGCCAATGCTCGCTCTCGCGGGTAATTCAGGATGTCCAAGAGGCGGCGAAGGAGGCGAAAGAGGCACTGAAAATTGTGAAGCCTAGTCACTGCACGACTTGGGTACTCTGAAGCAAACTCCTCCAGCCTCGCGGCGTGGCAACCCCCTCCCCTCCCAACTACGGTGACATCGCAATTATGTCGCTTAAGAAATTCTCAAGTTTAATTGTCCATAATAATGAAGGATAAAGTATAAAGTGTTCGCCGTTGATTAACCCCTATCCGAGAGGCCATGAACACTATTTCCATTCAGAATCCTAGAAGCTTAGTGAATGTGATGTGGCCTACACAACGATCTGCGGGAGACCGCCGATGTACAAGTCAGTGTTCGCGTTAGCCTGGGCGAGAGTCGACCCGTTCTATGACTCTTGGACCGCGCGCGTGGAAAGCGTGCCACTTGCCACTACACCATCCCTGCTTCTTCCATAACAAACAATATTCATATAAGTAATGGCACTAGAGCAACCAACATACTGGTTTGAACGACGACGTTCCACATTCCCGGCATGAGATTAGTGGCGTTGAGTTTTTGTAAATTCAATGAAGCGAACTGCATTCCACGAATTGAATCGTACGATCGAAGCTTCTGAGTGGCAATTGCTTTCTGATTCGGACCACGCCATATAAATCGTACAGGAGGACTGGTTTTTGTCTCATTGACGGTAGTCGACAAGCCGGGGACGCGACTCCAACGAAGAGCCACAGTAGGTGAAGACTTCTTGAAAGGAAATGTTCGAATCTATGTTCAGACACTTTCAGAAAGACAATCATTAAGGATTGAAGACCTACCAGGTCAGCGTAGGCAGTGATTCCTCGGAAAAACTCCTCCTTGTGATCGATATCTATTCCAGCCATAATAACCTAAAACGGCAATGAAACTCATGTGAAGAATGGCAAAAAAAGCGATCCTACCTCGAGCTTGAACCCATCTGTAATGGCAGGAGATATAATATTCGACACCATCTTCCGTTCAACCAGAAGTTGTAATGGGACGGCAGACGAAGCGGTCTGAAACTGACAAGCAGTTTTAAAAATCAAACCATGTCCATGCACGACGCCATTGAAGGACATCAACATCGTGATCCTGGGGAATCAGGCGAGAACACTGTGAAGGGACTGATCAATTAGTACTATCTCGTGCGTTCCGGGAGAATCGTGGAATCGGATAGTCGTTGAAATGGGAGAATTCGCGAAAAGAACTACAGATGATCCGATTTTGTCAATTCCGCCCGAGTGGAGGATTAGCAAAATCTTATTCAGTTATTCTCGTGGCTTTCCCCAATTCTGCCATTGGCAAGAAAGGTGCTGGCTACGAAGGCCTGAAAGTGAAAGACTTGCAGTTACTTCCCGTTGTCGTGTCGGCCCTCAAAAGATATTCGAAATCTGGCGAAGGAGTGATACCATCGAAGTTTGTAGAAGAAGCGGAAGTCAAAATTCCCCCCCCCCCTCTCCCCGCCGCTGAACTGTGCCATGAGACCATCTAGCCAGAAGGAATGAATAACCTGTATCGTGAAGATCATCTGATGTGGAGCAGAAGAGTGCATTTTCACAACGTCTATCCTAGACAGAGAGATGAACTCTGCTTTGTCTGAGTGCATAGAAAGCAGTGATTCAGCCATCAGTGAAAACGGCACAGCTGAAGAAGTTTATAGTGGAATGAAGAGCAAGAATCAGAAGAACTTAAAGACACTGTGCTTGATTTTCAGATGGGCGGGGACAGGAAATTATTCAGTGGCGCACTTTTCCTCTACCCGCCTTCATCGCAGCCGTAGATAGCTAAGATAAGGCAGCGTTCAGACTTCGCGACGGCAGCGCTTGGTCGCGCTGCGCATCGATCGCGTTGAATGCGCGACCGAAGCGCTGCCGTCGCGAAGTCTGAACGCTGCCCAAGGTAGGAGGGAAGTGCCAGGATGAGGAAGGAGGGGAGCGCCAACACGTTTCCTAGCCCCGCCCCTCTAACAATAAAAGTCTTAAATTGAAAAAACATACAGTATCCGTCAATATCAGCTTTGTAATGATTCACAAAAGTAACGTTGAACATTACATCGTTTACATTCGGATGATATCTGTAAAGAAAAATTCAATCTCTCCTGATACCATGTAAAAGGACAACAGGGTAAATCAAAGGGTGAAATCCAATCAATGAAGCATTCACCTATCTCGCACAGCCTGCTGTTCTGCTAAAGCAATAGCATCGATATCCACCAAACTCTCAAATTTCCTTGCAAAATAGAATGGTTTCGCTATTGCATTCTGAAAATTGGCTTCATTGTTTCAGAACTCCCAAATGAGGAAAAAATCCACACCTTTACAGCAAATTTGTAAGTGTGCTCCTTTGTGAACACTAGCGGGGAACAGCCACACCAGTCGACCACTTTCTTCAGACTCTCACATCTGCATCCTGAATTAGGCTACAAAATGCATGTAAAGCTGGCGGCGACGCTAGGGGGGAGCGTCGAACGTGGATAGACGACCACAGCACACCGCGTGAAAATCCAACTGTTTACTTCCTCATCTGCCTATGGAAATGAACTAGGGCTAATGACGAATGCCGCTTCACTGACTGACTCCTTTCAGTGTTGACAACGAAGCAAAATAAGCTCGAAAAAGAGGGCCCACGTTAACAATGCGTTCGATACCGCATTCGGCCGATTACTCACACATGGGCCTAACTAAAGAATAGCTCCACACCTAATTCAGCAACAGTCTCAGGGAATGGTCCACATATACATCGTATATATTCTGGAAGACGAAGGGGGTGTGGCTGCGCGCCTCTTCTCAGCATGGCACAGGGCACGTTTTTTGCGGGATATTTACTTTTGAAGCGAGTTTCAACCTGTGCTGGACTGGAGAAGACATGACTACGGTAGTTCCAGAACGGCGCAATATTACCAAAAGCGGTAGCCACCATGTTCGAGTGAAGTACGCAGCCACGCCCTCTCGATTTCCGGGATATGGGGCGTGCACCCCAGTATGAGCCAGGGACCTCCAACAAAACCAACAAAAACTTAGAAAGAGGCACTTCTACCAAGGGTGCAAACCAGTACTGTCGCCTCAAGAAGTAATTCGAGAAGAACCTCACAGCAAGCGTCTTTATGCTTCGAACACTGCTGACACACACTTTGCTTTGTTGGACACGATAGTGAGGCATGGGTCAAAAAGTAAAAAAAAACGACGTCATCATACTACAGCAACGCCTCACCTTGTTTCCTGTTCCAGTTTGTAAGGCGTAAATTGCTGCCTAAGATACTTTCACAGAAACGGGAATTGTACGAGAGCTGAAAAAAAGGTACTTTGACACGAGTAACGAATGAAAAGACTTCCAATATCAAAACGTACCGTGTGAAAAAAGCTCTCTACTGGCAGGATAATGCTGGCAAACAAAGCTCGTAATTTAGCAGGTAGCTCATCGTCAGATATGGAGTATTCTGCGAATTCTCTATGAAGAACTATCCAGTCAGAACCGCCATCGACGCGAAGATTGCGTGGAAATTCGCCTCTGTAACACACCAAGCAACTAGGAGAGAAGGGGTGGGGCCGCACATACACGTAATAATTCCAGCCATCTACAGAAACTATCCTTTTTTCGATAGTGGAAAAGAAAATTTCAAAACGACGCAGATACCTCCTGCCGATCCTCCACATGCGGTTCTCGCACTCTACGAAGATGAAGTCGAATCCCTGTTTTTGGATAAACCTGCCTGTGTTATATCCATGGCTACTCATATAAGACTTCCCTGGATTCCTAGAAGAATAAATTACTGAGGTCATATACAAAGAGCAGAGACTTGAAAACCTATCTATCCACCTGCGACCGAAAAAATAATCAACTAAAATAATCGAAGGCAAACCACGCATGAATGTTGTGGATAGTGAACGTTCAATCATCCAAAAATCTTGTCGCTAAGTGACACTCCAGGAAAAAGAAACAAGAAAATATGAGGGATACCTAAGAAAGGACCCCTGATGGCCTTACTGTACGAGTTCACCAGAACTGCTCGTTTCATATCACCTCTTGCTCACGGATGGTGTCTTCCCTTTCCAATACTAGTACCATTTGACAGTGAAAAAAAAACGAAAAGGTGGTGTAGAAACAGAACTCATGGCAGAAAATAGCTTTCAAGTTTTGGTGAGCGGGACAACCGGGCATTGTAAAGAAACGAAGATAACAGTCTTAGACGCTACCCCCCCCTCCTAGACTAATTCAACAAGGAGTGACCCCCATAGCCTGGTTGAACGCGGAGACTGCCTTTAACCAATTCGAAAAAGTTCAAAAACTTGAAAAGCCAACTTCATAGGGAAATCCTCTACTTCTTTTAAAAAAACAATTGGCAAAAAACAATCGAAACATATAAATGGAACCTGTATCAAAAGTAACTCACGCGCGAAGCTGCGTTTCAAACTCTTGAAGGGTCATAACAGGAAAATCACTTTCGGACAAGTTTATGAGGTAATCCCAATCAGAAAGCGACGGTGTGGCGATAGAACGACGAATAGTATCTGAAAAGACGGCAGTTCGCACTTTCAAACAACAGTTTAGATTTGAATAATGTAAACATTACAAAAATAGGCACTGTTCGACTCGGAAGGGGCATTTTGCACCTTGGCCAATTCCTTTTGCTAGTTACTATTGAATTACACGTTACGTCTTGGTAACAACTGTAGAACTTTGTCAAATGTAAACGAAATTCCTACTATCGCATTGCGTTACAGGAATTTAGGGAATTCACAGGATATCGAGGGACACGCCCCACCAAACCGAAATGCACCTAAAATTTAACAATACTTTACCTTGTACCATGGTCAGCAAAGATGCACCACCCCAAATAGTGCTGTGAGCATCTGGTGACACAAACACATTCGACAGCTTCGCAGCGACAGCTTTCATTTCTGAACACAAAAAGCTAATCTCCAGCTTCTCTCTTCTTGCAACCTCGGCATGTTAGTAAGTGTTTCAGTTTTCTTGTGCCTTACGAGGTTGTTAGGTGGAACATTTATTTAAAGGCCTAACGTTTCGACTCAATCGTCGTCTTCAGAGGCCTGAACGTGTTTCAAGTATTAGATTTTGCAACCTACCCCACCAAGCACCTCGTCCACTCTAGCGGTTCCGACGTCGTGTCAGGAACCTCTTGAGAAGACGGCGTCTTCTCAAGAGGTTCCTGACACGACGTCGGAACCGCTAGAGTTGGACGAGGTGCTTGGTGGGGTAGGTTGCAAAATCTAATACTTGAAACACGTTCAGGCCTCTGAAGACGACGATTGAGTCGAAACGTTAGGCCTTTAAATAAATGTTCCACCTAACAACCTCGTAAGGCACAAGAAAACTGAAACACAAAAGCTAATGATTTGCTCAAGAGATTCTCCAAAATGTTCATAAAGTTTGGTTCGCGGCGAATGATGGGGCGTATTTGCGCGGCTGCCTTTGGCACGGTGCCAAACCGTTTTCCACCAGTTGTCGAAGCGAACGAGCAACAACAAGTGGTTCAAAACGACTGATACGAACGATATCATACAGTCTTGCCGCTTGCTCGCGTCAACAGCGCGTGGGAAGCGGGTTTGGCACCACGCCAATCCCATCTAGCCTGACACGCCTCTTCACCTGCAGCGAACTGGACTGCAGTGCACTGGTCGAACCTGTGAGCATATAGAGCTGGCGTTTGTCAACGTGGATGTAGTAGTAATGGAAAGGAGAATAAAGCGCTTTGAGAAGCCTTTTTACCTGAAAGTTATTAAATGAAAAAAACTGTTGGAGTAAGGCCATGAACGTAACCAACCTGTCGCTCATTTCTGCCGTTCAGTTGCAGTAAAAACAGTATACGAGGTCTCTTCAGGTTATCATCAGAACCTGTCTCAAAAACCGCTTTGGGCATTGAATGAGGTCCTAGAAATATCCCACACTTGAAACAATTCGAAGATTCCATGCGTTGGAAAGGACTAGCATTATTCAAGCGTCCTATGATCACTTGAAGGCTGGGCTTGGAAGGAACCATTGAATGCAACTTCGTTAAAAGGGGGGGGCATTTATGAGACGCTTCACCGGTTTCAAATATGGTTACCCTATGGTGGGCCCAATTTTTACAAGAGATCTTTCTAAGCATGGCCCTAGCCCTGCCTCTGGTACTATTCCCTATTCGTTTCAATCTCAACTATTCACTCCTAGACTCACTCTCCGACTGCTCATCAGATAAAAAAGAAACAGCTAAACGAACTTTTGAATCCCGTATGAAAGACCTCAACAGCATTGAATCCTCCGCAATATTGAGAAAATATTTCCGCTGCATTTGTATTCCAAACATCTCTCTTGGCTCAAGGGCTTACTTGATATGGAGTCTCCACAAAAACACTCTCGACCAAACTCCAACCCTGAAAAACTGAAAATATACGAGTTGCTTACCCACCAAAAAGGATAACATTGGAAGATAGGCCTGAACTCTGCACAAAATCCGGAGGTTCCACGAAAAAAACTGTATGATAGAGAAGACTGTAGGATTTATTGAGTTAGAGGGAGGGGGAACAGAATCTGATTTAAATTTCTATAAAGCGGAAGAGCACGTCCTGTCGTTAGGGAAGAATGTTCAAAAAATGACCTCTTTCCCTGGAACTTCCTCGTCTGGTACCCCCTTTCCCTTCCTACCAACCCCCAAATTTGAATTCGTCTAACTTACTACCCTTTTCCAATTTTTTTTTCGGATATCCTTCTTTTTCCTCGGAAAAACAGCAGCGCAAAGGGAGGTGGAGTAGAGGCATGAAGCGCACTTGAAACGGGAAAAGGTGATAAATTCAACAGCCTGAAATTGTCCCTCAAGAGCAAACATGATCCTCTCCCCTCCAGCGACCAGATATGACCCCGGTTTTACACTGGTCTATAGAACACATTTAGATGTAAGCACAGACACCTTCGTCTGCGTTCTTCCGTCTGGGACTCCCTACTTATTGAAATATTCAGATCCAATGAGGGTGAAATGCACCAACACTAATCCAAACGCATTTAGAACTGAAGCGGAGATACGGAAAAAGGGTTGAGCAGTCGCGAAGGACGGTAATCTCAGGGATCTTCTTACCGTAATAAACAAAACCGGCCCGATAGCAGAAAGAGCGGCATTTCTCTGGGGAGTTATCGCTCTTGAACTCGTATGAAAATCCGTTTAGGCTTCGGTTATTCTTGTAATCTTCGAAACATCCAACTCGTCTATTGACCAGCGAACGATCTAGAAATGGAAAATCAAACGAGATAGAAAGCTCCCAACTGAACATCAACAAACCGTGGTTTCCACATTGACTTTCAGGGAATTGGTCATGGAACGCGCCATTTTTTAATCGACATGCAGCATCGGTAATCTAAAAAGTGTACGAGCATTAGCACTAATGGCAGAAACCATAAAAAACTGGTCCAGAGAGGTCCGGCTCAAGGTTATACGCTAACCGGTTAACATTCAAAAACTACAAGAAATGAACGGAGAATGATTCATCAAAGAGCACCCAGTCCGCCAGGAGAGGGCACTCAAAGCCCTCTCCGCGGGAAACTGGGATTGCCAGTAATGGAGATCTTCCGCCAAGCTCAAATGAAGAAGTTGTCTCATGGTTGTTAACATCTATTCTTGCACCGATTCTGTGGTCCAAGAATAGATTATAATAAGATAATGTTAACTTGACCCAAGAACATATGCTTAACCGATTTCCTTCTAAAAAATTTTGTGCGGAAGAGTCATGGCAAGTTATTCCAAGTTAAATTCAAGTAGACCCTAATTGTCCGCTTTCTGCAACACAGGACGAGCAACATAAAAGCATCAAAAATTCACAACATGAAATAATGACGAGCTAACGCAAAAAAACACCTTTCTAATGCAGGATTCCGTCTTGGCCCGCTCGAGAGCACTGAGAGCCAGTGGCTCAGTGATATTACATGAGTACAAGTTGTTTCTAGGCGGAACACCTGCCTGAGGCTGAAAAGAAAATTTTCAGGAACAAAAAACTTTGACTGACAATGGGTTTTGTGAGGGTAATCTGCTGCTAATACTTTTGCTGAAAGGGAAGCGGCAACCCTGGTTCTTGCTGCGTTCATACTTCTTGAATCAGCGGTATGGCAGAGCAGCGTTTTGCGAGGATAGGTCCCACGCGAGAATCAGAGCTTTGGGCGCCAACCGATACATGCACTATTGAAACGGCGATTCAATCGAGTCGCGAAGTATGAAAGCAGCCTCAAGGCTGAAAAGGAGAAGGAAAGAAGAAATCTCTACAGATGAGTGCAAGTAAGTAGCCTTCGGCGCGTCCTCGCGTGCCCTCCTCTCTTCTTTACCATTCTATACTTGGGTGGCTGGTTCACTGCGATGCTGCGAAAAAGAAGGGTTCCAAACCCCGCTAAATGTGACCGACTATGGGACGGATTGCACTGATTCGTAGTGAACCTTTTATCAATACTACTTCCAAGGTTCACTAAGACTGCTTTCCAGCAGATCGGCAACAACTACCTTATACGAGCATGCGTAGATAAGTTTGAATGGCAAAAAAATGAAAAAGCGGACCGCAATGACCCACCAAAATGGGTTGTTCCTCTCGCTGCAATCGATGCTGCGCTTCTACTGTCCTTTCGAGCGTATCCTCCGCCTGATGTTGCACATACATATAGATAAAATAAAGATTTAAGAAAAAGAATATCATCGTGCCAGCTACGATGTACATTGTGCGGAACAGCGGAATACGATGAGGAGCGATGGCTGCAGTTGCAGCAGTTCGCAAGGAAGAAGTGCTGCGTTTACGCATGCGTATCCTGAAACGGACGGGTTTCAAATTAGACAAGTTTTCATGCACGACTTTCCATAAAACTCCGCCAATAAAGCTGACTGAGCAACCGAATGGAAGCGCGGGAAATCGAAAACAAGCAGGCTTAATCAATAAAAAAATTTATATCAGAGACCAAAAACTTTGTACTAGCCAAATAAACTTATGAAAAAAGTTTTAGCTTTCTCCGAATAAGTCAAGTCTATGCGGACTTGGAGAGTCACACCAAGAAGAAGAAGATAATTAGCCATCGTAGACACAATCCGCGATTGCAAATAATAGGAGGGTCAGAACAAGAAAGATTAAATATTTAATCAGAATCATTATAACATCCATTTAAAAGAAGGTCAGCCGGACGGCCTGGTTAAGCCATGCGATCCGACTGGCCCTCTTTCGAATATCGCGAAAATGCTCACTGCACGCCGAGAAGAAGCGGCCCTTCTGAAAATGGGGAATGAAAACACATGTTTATTACTCATTTCTGCCAGTCCAACTGGTAGAAATAAGTAATAAACACGAAATCTTGTTCGTTCCGATAGCAAAGGAAAATAGCAGTATACTGAAAAGTAAAGAATAGCAATGAGTCAAGTAGGTGATCGAAAATGCTCAAGGACGTTTGAACTTTGTAGCAAACAAAGAACGAATCGTTCTAACTTAACGACAACGAAAAACGTTCGCTGCGAAGGCGAGCGGTGACCTTCGCCGATTAGTTGCCCAATAAAATATTACTAAAAATTTGTTAATGTAGAGAGGTGAACATCGTAAAATTGGGAAATATCGTAGTATGTTATGAAACAAAATAGTCGGTACTGTTAAAAATAGAATATGAGGTCAGGAACCAAGAGAAACCGAAAAATTTATAAAAAAAGTTGCGCGGTATAGAAGCCCAGGGAGCCTCACTGAATCGAGTTCGCTTAAAAGCTTGAGAAAAATGTCATTCTCATATTAGGAAGGCAGATCCGGCACTGCAGGACCGCATCTCAGTGGGAAAGAAGTAATCCACGGTTCCAAGACATCAAGCTATCCATTCTGGTTCCGCAGGAATTGCTCAGGACTCTTAGAATAACATTCGGAAACATCATGAGCGATGAGATTCGCAAAGATTACACTAATCTCTTGATTTTTTTTGGCGAAAACAAACTTGTTTTTCTATCTCTTCCATCTTTTTTTCGATCTGGTCACAGAATCACTTTTTAGAGTTCCGGTTTCAGCTAAGTTTCTGTATCGCGAAAAGTTCATTTCGCCACGTGAACAAATGTGGTCTACAAAATAGGATAACACTGAAAATATTTCGACGGTAACCTGCAGTTTTGAGCGAGCACGGTGAAATAAGAACAAAATTAAAAAAGAAACTATAAAAATCATCGAGCAAGGAAAGTAAGTAGGTATTCATCGATAAATGTTGCCGAATAAAGAAGCAAGTGCATATCACGTAACAAATACCCACCAAACAATGTGACTTTACACATAATGAAACCCATCAGGAACTTCTGTTGGCAGAAACATTTTCCCCATTTCCCACTTACAGCGGCGCTGCAAGGCTGTTGGAGGGGACACGAGACTGTGACTACCCCAGTCCACTGCGTCATTTAAATCATAACGCTGCTCCTAAAGGAAGAAAGGGATCGGTTCTCAATGAGAAGGAAGTGCGGACCCCCTGAGTGCCCGACGATCCACAAATTGGTAAAGTGGTTCGGGAGTTTGGGAGGATCGTCTCAATCGCGCCTAATCTCGGACTTCCCCAGATGCTGGATGTCCCAAATCCCGGAGTATGGAAGGAAGGAAAGGGTGAGTAACAGACTGATCGTTTGAAAGCGCAAGGTGACAAAAATTTGCATTCCCTAAATTTATTTTTCGTGCTCCTTTGATCGGAACCTGCTGTGTGAACAGAGAGGCGTATCCAAAAACACCCGCACCTTCTGTACAGAAAAAAAAACGGCAAAGCGTTCTATTGACGAGTTCGTCGTGGATTCGTAGAACTTTTTTGCCCGTTCTGGTATATTCCCAGAAATGCGCGGTAAAGACGAAAAGTACCTCTGCAATAATCGTGTGAACCCCTTTGACATGAAACAAACCGTTTCGAAACTGGGCTCCACGACTTAAAAGATCTCCCTGTAAGCCCCCCCCCCCCCCCACCTAAGAGACCACTTCGCTGCACCGCAGTGTAGCCCTCAACTTTGTAGCACCCAATTTGACCTCCCGCGGATCTATACAAGATAAAAAGGAGAATATACTTTCAAAGGAGTATTGAAAACTTCAGAAAAAAAAACTTACTATTACACTATTGCGTCAGCCAATCCAGTTCCAAAGACCCATTATATATAGTGAGGAGATCTACTTAACACTAAAAAAAGTTTATTTGAAGACTGCGAAGCAGGAAAGCTTCAAATACACAGTAAAGTAATACTCGTCTAGTACGTAGTAAGCCGACCAAAGCACTTCGAATATATTCATTTATATCGAACTGTATTCCATAAGAGCCCAAATGAGATATCTATATTTGTACATAACCGTAGCACAAAAAGAACAATGATCACATGCTTCGTGGTGTAAAGAATCAGAGTGAATCCATAGAGGAATTTCATCGGATACAGTAACTCAAAGACACTTACTAGAAACAATGAGGAAAACGAAAAAGGACAACAAGGAATCGCTTCAGGAATGACTCAGAACAAGCTACGTAACCAACGTTTCCTCGCCCCATTTGGCATGAATAACGTTTGTTGTCCACTCATGTCGTCAGTAACAATAACAATCGGAAAATGAGGAAAATTACAACCACTGTTAATGTGAAATAAGAAAGAGGCTCCAAATTTGCAAAAGGTCACCGATGAAAGAGTTAAGAAGAAGTGCCAGTGCTAGGAGGGACAATTGGGGTTTGACCGAGAACAAAGGGTCGTGGTGGCATAAAATCCATTTTCTCTTCTTTGGATATGGAGTAGAAGTCGAGCACCTGAAATTGTGAGCTTCTAAAGACGGTGGATATCAAACAGCCTACAGCATGAAAAAACAAGGCGCTAGTCCAGTTTAGGTCACAGTCAAAAGTGTTAGCTGTTAGGACATGCCACGTCCTTGGAGAAAAAATGTCGGCGCCAACGTATTCGGCAGGGAAGGCGGGACCACTCCACAGCGCTTGTGTTTCTCTTCCTCATGCAAAGGCTTAGAGCGTAGACAGTCTGACTCGCGGCGGGTTACTATAGCAGAAAAGTCTCTGGCGACTGACCGTAAGCGCTCGCAGGCTCAGGCTAAGCCCAGGCTAGGAGAGCAAAGGCACAGCACGCAGTGCTGCAAAGTGGCCCAGGCAATCGCGAGCGCCCACAAATCCTTATCCGCAGTACAGAGGTGGCGTTCATACTCCGAGACGATGGAGGGAAGGAGAACAGGAAAGAAGATCCCACGGAAAAGTAGAAGCCCGATCTGGCAACTTCGCAGGATAGGAGATTACGATGAATGCGCGTTGAAGGATTATCTGAGAATCAACTGTATGAGATCATCCTATCTTCTATTTTCGTAATTGGCCAGCGATCAGAGTCGATCGATCCCCATCTTTTGATTCGGGAGTATCTCTCCTAGTCCCCTGCTCTTTTACTCGTCAGAACTTTCAACTTGAGAGCATTCTCCCATTACATTGCCGTTTCGTTATAGAAAGTGTAAACGAGGCCTTGATGCCTTCCAAGTGCAGAAGAAAGTCGACTAAACGGCAGATCGGTATTGTTGGACGAGTTCTCCGGCACACCCTACCACGTAAAGTATTGAGCTACGAGCCTATTCCAGACCAGCGCCCAGCGCCCATGAGTCATAAAAAGAAAACTGGTTACCTTATGGCATATGTCATCTATGAGGCTATTCGACAAATTCGCGATGTATTCATTCCACCAACAATCTGGGAGGCCAATGTTGACTTTACGAACGGTGATGGCAAGGTGGAGAAGAGCTACTGCGATCACCTTCAAATAAAAAATTCGCAACAGAGAAATTATGAATAAATGAATGCAAAACGAGAAGTACCTGAGGCTCCCATATCAAGCACAATGTCGTAAAAGCGCTATCATTTACAAATGTCCATGAGGTGTGAACAAGAGAATTGATCTGAAGGTTGACAACCTTCAAAAAAGATAGCAGTGTAAGAATTCAAAAAGTTATACCTCTGTTTTAGTGAGCTTGAATTTCTTAGAATAATCAATGAGATATTGATAAGGCAAATCAACTTGGAGGTCAAATTTCATAGTCTGCAACAGCACACGCTCGATACCCATTATTTCGTCCTGAAAAAAAACCATCTATACATGAAAGCGATAAAATAGCCGAGGCCAGAGGGGGGATGGAGACTAGAGCGCTCTCATGCTAATCGTGTGCCTCTCTCTGTGGACGAGTCCGCTTGGGGTGAAGTCAATGGCTACTATTTGTGGGAGGCCGTACTCATGATCAGCGGTGAGCAATGGAAACGGAGAATTAAAAGGGATCGAAGGAAAGGAAAAGATAAGAGTTGATTTGTTCGATTCTCGCTTGGATATGGATCGAATTTTAATGAGATCGATACGCATCTCAGGTTTCTGTCGATTCTGTAGGTCTCTCGAAACGCCCACTGGGCCGAGCAGAGTGGTCACATTCAATTTGGTTCCCTCTGCGGGTTTTATAGTTGTCGAAATCGTCATTTTTCAGATTCTTTAGATTGGTACGTATGCATACGGTTCATTTCACGGCGCCTGGAGAGGGCGTGGCTAGAGAGTCATGAGCGCGACCGCAGCAGACTGCTACCCGTCCAAGAAGAAGCGTTGGTAGAGGCGTAAGTGACGTAGGCAGCACGAGAAAACGTTGATACGAACCTGACACCTTCTGCATGAACCTATTGTTTTCTGCACGACTATTCTGTCGACACGCCTCTAAAGTCGCCGTGATATGGACTGTACCGTTTCGTTTTCAACGCGCTTGATATGATCACGGTCCAGGAGGACAAGCACAGCAAAACAGGCCTTGTTTGGTTGTGCCGTACCATCCCCTTCCTCCTCAGCTACTCAATATCCCGGAGATGGGAGTGGGCGTGGCCAAGTACTTCATTCGTAAGTGGCAGCTGGTGCTCGTTAGGCGGAAAGTTGCCATTTTGGGACAATTGTAATCATCTCTATATCGAACAGTGAATAGGACGATGGTTAGCTCAAATGAAAATAACTTTCAAGGAGGGCATTCTGTGCCATGTTTGAACGAAGGACGCAACCATGCCTTCGCCATCTTCGCGATATGGTGTATTTTGGCGAACCTATAGTTGGAAGAAGGGTTCAAAACTCACCACGAAAGTGTTCCGATTTTTGTTTCCATAAACTGTTGGGAAGACATTCTGAGCAGCAGTCACGATATCTTTGCACTTTTTTGGAGTTTCCGAAACTTTACCAGCAAGGAATAAACAGCCCATGGCGACCATCTGCAATTAGGTGGAACACGTGGATGTAACACTGCGTTCATACTTTGCGTCAGCTGAGTTTGAGCTCACGCGAGCGTTTCGAGCGACTAGGAAAATACAGGTATTGATCTAGCGTACGCCAGCTTGCGCGGAAAGCTGTTGAGCAGCAGTAGGTATAAGATATCCGATACACCAGTTTTAGCGTTTGAGAAGCGAAATCTAGACTTTTTGGCCGAGCAGGCGCTGAATACTTTACGCCTTGCCATGCCGCGTTTTCGCGAGCGACTACGAAAATATAGGTATTGAATTAGGGAGTTCGAGCTGACGCAAAGTATGAACGCACGCTAATAGAAAGTAATGGATGTAATATTATAGATGGAAAGTCATTTCTTTTACCTCACGTGGGAATTCCTGTAGCGAGTGGAACATATAGAACCGATGAAAATAGATCGAGGCAGTTCCAATGGTGGGCCAGGCCTTGCTGAAATAATATCTGTGGAATCACCAAGATTAATAAGCAAAACAGAAATCAGAAGACGGATTTGGAAATTCAGGTGTTCTCTTTGAAAAAAAAACTCAAAAACTCACGCCCTCACACCAGTTCCCACTTCCATTATCAGCCTAATCCCTTCTCTTCGGATTCTGGCCTCTTCTGCGGGCGTCATTCCACGCCGAACGGACGGAGTGTTTAATAACGGCACGCATCAGATAGGAGAAGCCAGATTAATACTTCAATGAGAAGAAACTACCTTCACTTTCGCCAGGATCCACAGCCAATCTCTCATCGTTACTGACAAATTATTGAAATGGCATGAAATACAGAGTCAGGTTCAAGAGAAAGAATTTAACTGATATATAGGAAAGAAATTGGAGAAGGTCACCTGATTATAATCAATGAGATTTCCACGATTCAGGGAAGTTCAAGTTGAACTTTACATGGCACTGGGCCAAAATCAAAAGTCCTTTATTGGCGCAGCTTGCCGCAGCGGGGAGTTAGAGACGCGTCAGTGATGCAGTCGTCCTTACAAAATGTACAAGTTGACAGATTGCCTGATATTGTGGTGTAAGAGTGCGCTGTATATGTGGATCTAGCGAAGGTCTAATTGGTCGCCGGATGAGATTTTCCGTATTTGATCGCGGAAAATGTTTTTCAACCGCTTGTGGCGTTGTTGCGTGTTTCAGGTCACTATACCCTATCCCTGTCAGGAGTTCTTGAGGAAAAGCGGAGGAATTTTGGGACAATGTGGAGAAGTATCAGGAAACTGTGAGAGAGAAGTTCACTTCGATAGATGTCGATAGAGCAAGAAGATGGTATAAAGGAAGGAAGAAGGTCGTCGGTCGTAAAGGGGGGGAATTTTACTGCAGGAATTGATCCATTAGGTATATGGCTTTTGCCAACATATTTCGTGAGCGGTTTCAGTGACTGTAACGATATAGTTTAAGATTACGTTTACTAACTCTATCTAGCTAAAGCAGGCTGAGCAAGGTAGTACGTTGTAGAGAAAACTGAGCGAGTAGTATGAAAACCCCAACGTGCATTGCGGAGACGTGCGACACATGGCTAGCCAAAAAAACTACTCGTAAGCGAGAAATGAAGCGCGAAATTTGACAATCGTCTCTATTTTTGCCCGGACAGTCAGTTCCCGTTTTGGCGCGTGCGCACATTTCGGATTGCAAGGGCGTAGTGGGGGGAGGGAGGGAAGGGAGCATGCATTTTCGTAGTTCCTTCGATATTTGAGCTAGCAGTGGAGATCTTGAATTGAGTCCCGAAGCGATTATATTCAAAGTTTGTAGAGATCACCTGTCAAATCTTATAAAGAATACCTTTCAACACTCAAAGTAATGAAAAAGTCGATGGGACTAGACAAAGTAAATGCTCGCTACACCGTCACCCAAGCGAACTGCGGCGCGGATCGCCTCAGCTCTTCGAAGCGCTGGAATCTGCTCGGTACCATGGCGAGCTAAATTTGTGGGAACACCGCGTCTTGAGGGATTTTATCTTTAAAAGTTATCCTTTTTGTGACCAGCAGCGTTTAGACTTCGCAATGAGGAGCGTCGATTCGTGCGACTCACGTGATCGCCGGAGTCTGAAATGCTGGCCTAAGCGGATCCCTAATCACAGGAATCGGTAGTTAATCGCTGTATCAAGAGCCTAGAGCAACCAGTCGCGTTCGGTAGTCCTTCAGAGACCTTAGACAGATGAGAAAAAATTTATAGAAGTATATTTATTACACGTAAATATTCATCACATGCACTAATAGTTCTTTGAAATTTTGCAACAATATCAATGTATAGTCAAGATGGAAATCCTTGGAATGTCGGTAAGCTTTATGCTGTTGTAAACAGATCAATGAGGCTTTGCAGACTTGGCGTGATGAGTCGTCGATTCTGCTCGTGGGATTCTGTCGTTGGTTCTAACGAAGAGCATGCGAAGAGAGATGAAATGGTTAGCTTTGACCATACTGCTCAAATGGCAAATTCGGCTGCATTCTGGGATCGTGGAGGAGCTTGAGTGACTGCTTGACCTACACGACAATTGCGATTTCAGGGTTCAGTACAACCGAGTTGCGAGGGCGCGATTTGGCGAGAGCAAAAGCGAGGCTTCAATGTGAATTGCGTGCGCGTCATTCGCACCAAGGGATGCTTCTGGCTGCATTTCTTACCAATGGTGATCGATTCAGGAAGAAAACGGCCAGTGGCAATGAACATCGTGGGTGGGCTCGTTCCATGCACCTGCCACTGCCCCATCGACTGTGCGTGAGTAAATGCGGAAGGGTTACAGCAAGTCGCGTCAATTAGCTAAGAAATGCCACAAACTGAGCTAGTCTTCGCCTGTCACGTCAACTCGGGGCTACTGACCGCATGCTTGGGAGCTGTTAGTCTGGATTTCTGGACTCCTATATAGCACTGGTGCCTGACTGACCACGGAAGGAGAGAGGGCTTGGTTTTCTGGAGCAGTATTCTACCCACGGGTCATATTTATGGTATTACTGCCTTAACATGATCCTCAGCCTTAAACCAGGACGCTTTCGCATTTTTCGGAAAATACCCTCTCCTTACTCCCCCTTGTCGTGTCGGTCAAAGGCACAATCCAGGCTGACCGCATTAGGCGTAGTCGGTCCCATTATTTTGCCTTCTTCCTTGGTGCCTTTACCCCTTTTGTCACTTCTGGATGGGCCACCAATCAAATGGGCGCAATGGTCACAATGAATCCGCCCACACGATCAGCACGGAAGTGGCAAGGGTATAAGGTGATTGCTACGTACCTTATTGGCGCTCCAATGACTGTAGTGATGGGTCTGCGATGTGGAAGCATCCCGAAACTATAGTTGAAGATGCCGCGACCTTTCAACAATGGTGGACAAAATCCGAATTTGTTCTTGATCCACGTCTAAATTGGTAAAGCTTAATGGAGAGCTACCAAACAGACTTGCAACAAACCTGAATTTCTCTAATGCGAGTCCCCCGTGCATTTCCTTCCCATCGGTCAAAGACATCATTCTCACCAAAGTGGTACATTGGTACAAGGTCCGTACTGAAATGAAAAAGGCACATTGTCAATGACTCATAGGAACTGGATGAAGAAAAGGGAATCGATGACCTAGAGACGCAGCGCGATGAGTTGAGTATGTCTGTCCCCGCCCTTCCGATTATCGCGGAAAATGGCTTGTGTGGATACAACGCATTGAAGAGGGCAAGCTATTTTGGGGCAATGTAGAAAAGAATCTTCTTGACAGGATGGAATACTAAGAATTGACCGGAAGGGGTAGAGTTTTTGGCCTGTTTCACGATTCGTGATAAAGAGGACCACATTTTTCACTACTTCCCTACCAGCGCCTCCGGAATTCTGGGGAGAGAAGCTTGTTATACTGCCCTGTCTTTGTCCGGGAACGAGACTCCCACTGCACCTACGCCTCTGAAAAGATGAGCTACTGCCCACCTCTCCCACAGGTGGGAAGAGATATAATGAAGGTGAAGTGAATTGTTAAATAGACATGCCCTTACCCATATTTCAGAGCGTAACGACAAAATCCACGACGTGAAGACAAGCAGAGTTCATGCGTTCCGGGATGAGCGTCCAGTGCCTCTGTCGCTCCTCCCAAGACGATGGCTATTGCTCGACCTAGGTAGGGATACCCCATTGAAAAAGATAATTGTCGAACAATGGCCTATTCAAGAACATACCTTTACCGGGATTTTCCAGAAGGATACTCGAGCGACTTCCTCGACGATTCAGCCCCTCCTTAACGAAACAGTTGTTAGGACAAGCGATTCAATCGGGTCCTTCCAGAGGCACATTTCATGACTGCAAATCGCGAGTGGGGGAGGGTCATAAAACCGAAAGGGTAGGCAATGGTGCCAGGTGCCAGCAGACATGAAATCGGAGAAAATGCGAAAAGATTCTTTGAATAGGGCACTGTTTTGCTTGCCCTGAGGCGCCTTCGTTTCCTTTCTGAGCACTGAAGGAGCATACTATGGGTTGAGAAGAAGCGAGACATCGAGAGCTCGGGAGAGAGAGGCCAGATGGAGTGGAGCGCCTTGCCACACATTCTATAAGTTCGCGAATATTAGTCGCAGCACTATGAAGCAATTCCATGATGGGCGGATACGTCTCACAACATCGGAGACGTGCATTCGCGGGTTCCTACTGTCTTTGCCACGCGTTTTTGAGGAGCGAAAATGTTGCAATTTTTGCAGCTGCACGCCGTTGTGCCTCATTACCGGAAGGATTACCTTTCGGTCATGCAGGGTGCCCTCAAAAAGTTCTGCAAGAGATAAGAAAAACGATAGAATCCTGTATAAATCAAAGGAAACTTCATGATCATCACTTGGCTATAAAACGAAGGCAAAACCCACATACCAAGAGCGATGCCAATATCCCGTCGGAAAGGGAACCAGAATTGCCCATTTAGCGTGAGAATTGTGGATTTCAAGCCGGGGTACATGTCTGGAAATCCTGATCCGGATGTGACCATAGCAGTGAAAGCACCAATCGACAAGGCGCCATGCGGATGTGAGCTGAAAACAAGTGACAATCTGAAAAGAACATCAAACTGCTGGCTGATTGTGAGGTCCCAGTTGCGACGAAAGTCGCTCAGCGCGCGCCAATTCCTAGTTGACTACTGTATTGTAGCGCCGCGAAACCAATAATGTTGTGGTGAGAACACCGCGCATCCGACGCATCTTCCACCTGTGCGACAACCCAATATGCTGGGAGAACTTTCAAATTCCGGAAGTGACTGGAATCAGGTAATTATAGGACCAGCTGATAAGCTAGGTAGACTATCATCACCAGCAATTCGTGCCAGTATTCATCGTTTCAGTTGTTCAGAGCCACGTACTCTTACTCTTGCTTGTCAACCATCAGGGTGCGTCGGCAACATACATTGCCGATGACATACACTTGCAGTATTCTCGAACTAGAGAGAGGTAAGTGGTTAGAGTAGGTTCAGTGCTTCATAACGAGAAAGTGGACGAATACTGGAGCGATCAACAATTTTTTCATGTGCAGAAAAACATTGCCGATGACATACATTCTAAACGCTCTGTGTAACTACACAAGTGTTATTTGTTAGACTCACTAGAATCCCCTGGCGTTCTATTCTGATACTGTTACAAAAAGATTACGTACCCAATGATATAATTGCGATCTGGCGGTAAATCCGCAGTTTTGACGATCCTCAGTGGAAAATAGTCAGCGAAATGGGTCCAAATCGCATGATTCTTGTACCAGTTCTGAAAACATTACGTATGAGGTTTCTCTCTTCCTAAAAATGTTTGGCTGCTGTTCCATAGCATAGACTGACCGCCACGTAAAAGAGCGTTCTGTTTGAAGATACAAGCCGTTCTTATCTGAAGGGTGATCGCACATAAAAACGTTTGCAGCTCAGCTGTCGCCTAAGGCTGTGTTCATACCCCGTAACTCGAGCGATACTCCGTGACTCGCGCGACTGCATCCGACCGCGCTCTATCGATAACATTTTGGAAAGCTCCGTGTAGAAAGAAGTTCTATCCCGAATGATTGGGTTTGTGCTTGCAGCGGTCCAACAGCTAGCGATGGAGCGGTCTCCATTCGCTCCAGTTGCGAATAATGAAGGCAGCCGGAGTTGCGCCACCCCGTCCCCAAGCCAAACTAGATGGCAATGTTGCCGGGCTCCTCAACGTAAGTCTCCGCCCATTGGGACTGCAGTAATGTGATGGGTGGCTGCCCATCACATTACTGCAGTCTTCCTTGATTTCCTGGCAATGTGGCTTCCTTGCACGCACGTTGCCTGATTTCGCTTTCTCGCGTCAGCACCTCTTCGCCTCTGCCTTTTTCACTAGCTCGTCCGGCTGCAAAGCTGAAGGGGTAGCTGTCCAAAAGTTACCGATGGAGCGAGGTAATTTGAGAGCGAGAAGCTATTTTCACAAAGCCTACTTTCTTTTTCATACTGGTAGGTCGACTCGCGCATAAAACTCCATGTTTGGGCTCTTCCCCCATACCCAGAATTCGTAATCGCGAAATAGTCGTTTAACAAATACAACTAGGAATGTTGCAGCTTCCGTAGCTTCCCGAAAGACTCAGAAAACTACAGAAATTGTACATGCACATATGAGTGCAGCGCGAGGCGTTATGGCTGCGTATTTCCACCCATCTGTCCTTCTACATCTCTGCCAATCTCGACCGCGAAGCCATCGCAGCCACGCTCCTCACGACCATCGGATATGTGTAAAAACGAACCCAACATCGCGATCCACGGACGTGGTCTATCGAAATCGTAAAATGTCCACGCAAAGTACAGAACCATCATCCACCAGAATCGAGTGAAAAGTAGGATGTAGAGCGGCGTCTTAAAACAAAACCAACTTTGTGGTAAGCCTCCTGTGAAGCAGAACAAGCTAAATCTAACGTGAAAGAACTAATGAGAAAAGTAATTTTCCAAGTATGACGTCATGTTTTGAAGTTACCAACCCAAGTGGATATGATAGGTAGCACTACCCAGAGGAACATGAAGTGGGCTACAGCAAGAGTCTCCAGCCGCCTCTTTGGTGGAATGATCAGTGGCGCCCAGTCGATACCGAGAAACCGAATCGGTCGAACGAACATCCTGAAAAGTTGTGTTAGTTGAAACTCACTACTACGTTACCTACGGCTACTTATTTCGACAGTTGGGCTTGGTGGGGACATTTTGCTGTTTCTCAACTGTCATTGCCAATGTTGAGATCTGTAAACTCCTGTAAGGCTATGCAGCAGCAGGTGGTCGGACAAGAGTCTACAGGTCTCACCATGGTAAGACGTGTAACTTAATAAGAACTCATAAAAATGACTAGCGAAAGAGCAAAATGCCCCTCCTAAGACGATCAGCGTCGAGATTTATGTTTCTAGATTATAATTAATTAATTAGATTAGAACCAAAAAACATTGCAACCAATCGCAAGATATGTAGGCAGTTTAGTCATTAAAAAGATGGATTAATCTCCGGAGTTGATCAGTCCGTCTGGTATGGACTGTGGTCCCCCCCCCCCGTCCAAAAAAGAAGCGGCAGTTGAATGCGATGCTTAGTGATGCCAAGACGCCCAGGTGGAAAGACGCAGGGTGTTAGAACAAGGCAAATAATGGCATCCTCAGTGCAGCCGACGCTGAGAAAAAAATCAAAGCGTAGATCAAAATTATGCGCTCACGTCAATTTCTTCGCTATCTGGTGGGCGTCTCCCGAGGTTCCCAAGCGCTACCTATCTTGGGGACAACAAAAGACAAGAGCAATCACCACTATGTCGGAGGAGCTGGGGAATGTTTTCTAAGGATTTCTGAGGAAGTTTTTTTCTGGAAGAACAGTCTACGTTAGGAGCGTAAATAAGGATATCACAGAATACACAAAACTATTGGAACTAGACGATACTATACGATTTTTAGGCGCAGTTCGGCTTGGTGGGGGCACCGAGTGGTACTCAGCTAGGCTTGTATGGGCCACCTTGTGAAAACCCGAAAAATCTTGTGGCTAGAATAGCTCTTTCAAACAGTCACAGAAATTCACGAGTCTGACCAAGGTCAGTCCTATTAGTTATCATGAACCAGCAAAAGGACCTCTCCTGAGTGCGAATTGCGCCCTCCAAGCCAAACATCGAGGATTTATGATTTGATTCACCCTTTAAGTTTCTCCAGCCACCTCGACATTTCCACAACGGAGAGCTTGGAGATATCGCACTTGGAAGACATGTAATCTGCAATGAACTATATAAAATTCCTTCAATGCTCATGCAGTGCAATAGGCAAAGTGGGACTAGATGGGCCTATTCGGAGAACTTATCGACCTCGTCAGAATCTGAAATAGAACTCCATGTTGAATTTGTAAGATACGACACCACTTCAGATGATCGGGTTGATAGTGTCCTTAACGCTCTGAGCTGTCGAAGGTTGTGGGCGTTGTTCGGCTTGGAGGGGCTTTTGACACTCTCGCTCGTTCTTTTCTTCAAAGATGTTGATCACATCGAAGTGCGACTCGTAAACTCCTATGGAACTGCAAACTGATGATAGTGAACCAGTTCGGTTACAGGAACTTACAGCGTTGCTCAACTTAGTCTGTACAAACCTACCACTCAGCGCCCCCACCAAGCCGAACTACGCCACATTTAGTGTTTACTAGTGTGTAACCCTAGGGAGAGGAGGACTTTTGAATGAAGCTCAGTGGTTGTGTATTGGCACAGGCTCCGTGATTCGGAGTCAATTTGTCGCTGAAATTCCGAAGGGGGCGGGTTTGAAAACAGATCCGTGTGTGCTGGTTGACTGATTCGTGGGGAAGAAGCAGATAAACTGTCAAAAAACGTCTTAAGTAAGGTCCCCTTTGTTCAGAGCATAAGGCAAGGATTCAGTGAAGATGTCGGGTGTGAGATCAGACGGTTGCATGACTCTGTCAAAAGGATATTTTCTCGGTGGGGTGGTTCAGAGGTATTTTCTCATTGAATATTCTGGGCGAGCACATAAAGGGAGGAAAGTAAGGAAGAAAGAGGAGAGAAGGAAGGAAGGAAAAGACGGAAGGTGCAAGAAAAAAGAAGCAGAAAGAAAAAAAGAATGAGAAGGATGGCTTCGCGATTGGTAGATATCCTGAATTCGGTGCTCAGACGCAGTTTCAGTTCCAGCGGGTTCTGGCTGCTTTGCATCTTTGCTGACTATATTCAGTGTTACAAAATCCAGTCATTAAAAATTTTTGGGTATCCGTTGAGGCTATATGTCCGAAAATGCTCACAAGAAGGCGGTCGAAACCTCAGTTCAATGGAAGTGTATACCAGTCTAGGTTAAGAGATAGAACATTCAGCCCCAAGTCGGGCTAGAAAAGGCTGGCTGAGCCAATGTACTGTAAGAGTGTAGTAAAGGTGAGTGAAGGACGACAGAAGTGCAAGTTTGGAGTGTTACTGACATTCGTGAAAGGAACTCAGCGTACTCGTCCTCCTTTAAATGCATTAAGTGGTCAAGAACACAAACAATCGAACATCTACACGGGCACTTAGTAACCCCCTTCTAGAATGTGTGAGTAAGTAACCAGTTTTTTGGGAGGCTCTTCACGGAGCGGGGGTGTGATTGGGAATGTGTTCCCTGAAGTTTACGACCAATGCCTCTAATTTTACCTTATTGCGGATCGAGTGGGCGAGCACAGTAATCAGCAGAATCCCGTTTTGGAAGAGGAACATAATGGAGCATGGCGTTTGTTGCATAGTAAATCGAGTTAAAGGCATATTTTGTTACTGCTAGTCTCCTGGGTAATGCAGTCAAATATGGATTTTAAGATGCTATTTGACCCAACGGTCATGAAGAAAGGGTATGGAGCCTTCAGAAATGTCTCTTCTTGCAGTTGATTCTGAGTGTTGAGCATTGGGTGAGCAGGCGAAGAAGTGGGAGGCAGAGAGACAGGCAAGGGCAAGTTGTAAGAGAACAGAAAGGAACGCGAGAACGACAGAAACTAACGTAATCGGGTACCGACCAAAAGCGAAATCGCTCAAAAGGCTCTGAAAAAGACAGTACTTTGAAACGTAGGAAAAATTAAAGATTTGTACCAAGCTCGGATTGCACAAGGAATACTCCCGAACTACTGATGGATCCGCCCGCCGGCGGTCTTCATCACTGAGTGGGCGGGCCACCAACTAGTGGGCGGGCTTACTAGAGCGAATGACGGCTTCGGCGAATTTCTCAATTTCAACCCACGAAAGTGGTACCAGGTCGGCTATCCGATCTTAATCGCTCACAAGAGAAAGAGATTCACTTGCAAGAGTCACTAGCCAAAGCTGATTCCAATGATTCATTATATCCTTGTTCGCTGCCGATTATGGGGCGTGCCAAGGGAGGGGTGTATCACGGAGCCAATCAAGCGACAGTACTGTATCATATCAACCAACTATGCCCGAACAGCGTGACGTGGAAAATGGGCCCACAAGTCAATTGTGTTGTTCCAGTACATCTTTGGGGCCATGCCCTACCCACCTTGACATCGCCCCCTCAACTGCGCCTTTGCAGGTGATCCGCGAATTTCCGCGACAGGACCGACAAATCAGAAGAAGGGTGCCGTTTATATATCCAGTAGGTTGAATGTTCTAAATTAATAGTATGTTGCCATTATCCGCTTCAGCAGCCGTAAAGGAGAAAGATGCTGGCCGCGCCAAACCCAGCTGCACTGACACGCCCCTTCATCCACAGATAACATGACTGTAGATGTTTTGGTGCAAGTTGTCTGCGGAAGCGGAGCCGGGTCTGTGACTCGAACCTGGACCTTGGCACATGGGACTGTTTGCAGGCTGTGGTAATAATACCAAAGCTAGTGCTACGATAGTGCAGTGGACAGCAGAAGAGCTGGAAAGGTTGGGGTCCAGGTTCTGAGTAACTCATCATTTTCGGGATGGTGAGGAGACTCTGGAAACTTTATTCACTAAGCAAAACATGTGTAAATGTCTTTATAGCCATTATTATTCGAATATTACTTACGTCACACAGAATACGTCAAAAAGGTATAGTCCATACCTAACAGCAAAAGAAGGCGTTCCCAAGCACGCCTTTTGACAGCTGCGATTGTGCAGACAGAAGAAAGATAGAGACAAAGGCATACATGAGTTAGAGCTGGCACGGGAATGCGCAGCCGTCGCCGAGCGTACTTGGAAAGGCCCTTCTTGGCGTCCGATATGGATCACATGTAGACATAACTCACTTTAAACTCTATCACTACACTAACAAAGTAATCCATATTCATAAAAGAACGGTGGAATTGATCACGGCCGTCCTTGAAGTGCTCTGTAATAGACCTCGTGCAATAAAGGGCAGGTGCTTTTGTATGATGAAGAACCTTGATTAGTAGAAAGACAAGAGCACTGGAGCATAGTATGAAAGTAATGTTTGAAAATATAGTGGAAAACATATTCTGAACAAGAACTTTAAGACACAGTCCACGACAATGAAATGCCAATATAGGGGCTCATTGGACTGGTCGAGGAAAACGTGCAAAAGAAACTGTTGAAAGCACCTTGGATGAGCCCACTCTTCTTTCATTCAAGGGGGGGGGTGCGCTCATATGCAGCAAAGGAATATTGAGCGCGCGCAAGAGAAACAAGACAGTGAAGGGCGAGAGAGCGCACCGAAGAGCGAGACCTCTATCCTCCGTGCGGCTCTTCCACAGAACGCCTATCACCACAAGGGGTCACAATTCCGTAGCATCCTGGTCTTGCACTTCCGGTCAACAAAGTGGTAAAGTCTTTGCTGTAGCATACCTACCCACACACGTGCGCCCAGAATAAGTAGGATCTCTAATCGTGGACTGTACCTTCAGGAAAAACATTGACAAGAACGGGAACAACACGAATATGGTTCATATGTACAAGTGATGAACTACCCGAAACAGGGAACGACTAGATAATTTTCGAGAACCGCAAAGAAAGGGACATACTCTTTCAAAAAGCCGTACAATTCCGACTGCTTACGAAAGGAATATCCACTATGGGAGAGAAAGAGAGTGTCACCAATTCCAAGTTTACTCTTGGTGGATTAAACAGCAGGCATTACTTATTAGTAACACGATCGCTCAAAAAGTTCTCGCGATTCCGATGATTACGTTGATGCGAGGATA